ACCTTACTCCACAACATTTCTTCCATCGCCTAAGCATAATTATTAATCTCTGAGAGGCTCAAAATTCTAAATGGAACACTAGTTGGGTCTGGAATGCCACGTTAGGGCTAAAAAAATGCCTGCCTCCTATCCCTCAAGGTATTCCCTTCATGTCATTGAGTACCCTTCAAAATATCTATTTGAACTACATCTTTTGTACTAGAAAGCTCAGCATAAGGCACTCCTGCAATAGCTTAAATGATTGTACAGGAAACACAATTACAAGTCAGATATTTCGTAAACTTCTGCTCAAACACATAAATAAATAGTTAAATAATTGTATGCAAACTAGTCTGTGCTATATATTGTACAAGATTTCCTTTTCGTTACAGTTCAAAAAATCGTTACGGTCTGCTGAGCAGGTTGATCATGAGCAACAAATTTATTTCCTGTCGGCAAGAATTTGGACTTTCTTTTTTTTTCGGGAGAGCGGATATACGACGAAATTCATCAAATTCATAGAGCTGTAATTAGAAAAATATTCCGAGGGTTCACGGATTCCAGATTTTTTTCTGAGTATTCGAAATGTCAGATCATTCTGTCCCATTTTAATTCTATTCTATTCAATTCTAATGTCTAGCAAGAGAAAATAAAATGAAAGGAACACTAATTTTTGTCAGCTACATTACAAAATTGAAGAGTTATTCGAAGCCTCCGTCTCAACCTAGGGGGAGGACCTGGTTCCCGAGGTAGGCGGAGCCTGCAGTAATAGGTAGCTGTCATATTGTTTTGTTTTAAGTAGGTCTATTTGAAAATTATTTGTTGCTAAAATAACGAAACAACCTTTCAGGAAAACCTTGGTTTCAGTTCAAAGATGCAGGAAATTTTTTCTTCACGGAGCCAATAACGAAAATCTTATCTACGAATGTGGAAACATAAAAAATCCTTTTGAAAAAAATACTGATAAATAAAATGATTTGCGAAAGCCGAAAATTTATCAATATTTAAAAATCAATCTATACACAAATGTTAAAAATTATAATCTAAGTTGGTAATTTATTCGGCATGAAGACTATTTTATCGGTGATCCATAACAAAACCTTGGCAAAGTACTTTTACCGGCCTCTCTAACATCAACTCCCTACGCTTCCCTAGTCACCTAGTAGTGCTGCTAATATAGATGATGTGTAAGATGAACTCAAAAACGCCTTTACTGGAAGATTTGGAATCCATTTGATATCCCATCCATATTAACAACATACTCGAAAAGCATTTCTCTGCTCCTGTGGGTGAACTCTCGGCTGTTAGTTTCAACTGAGTAAACAACTGAGCGCTTTTGCTTTTGATATCATTCAGAAAATCACTCATCGGGCCTTCAGTACAATGTGGTTCCCGCTTCGTAACTGCCAAACACAATCCTAGTGCTGGTTGGACCAAAGTCGACTACCAAAGTCGCTGAAAAAGTTTATACAAAAATTTTCTAGTGTTTTAAAGGTATACGGAATGTTTTTGGTAATTATAGAAGAGTAGTAAAGTTGATGACTTCAAAAGTCATTGAAGTGAAACGTTACTATTTAAATATAATCCTATTTTACCTTCAATATTTATTGTAGTAAATCTTTATCTCCTTTACCCTCTCTTTTCCATAGCCGCATGCTTTACGTCACTTCACCTTATCACCTCTCAACCCATTCAGGTTTCCTCTCGGTTTACGAATTTTGATTTGAAAAAAATATCGACTAGTTGAATGTAAGAAAAAATAAGAAAATCTATTTGGGACCAGAGGTTCAGAGAGTGCAAAAATGCATTAAACAGCTTTTTGAAAAAAAAAACTAGTTTTTCACAAATAATCACCACACCACCTGCTGATCCGTCCGAGACTGATGATGTTCGGAAGCCATAGGGATGTTGGGAACTGGAACAAGCGCCCACCTGGTAGATGTAAGAAAAGTGCTAAGAGGACGTGGGGTATAATAGCTCACATAAACGCTATAATAGTTGAAAGAAATATTCCGGTTGTCAAGAGAACTAGCAGTGTTCGAGGGAAGAAATCGGATAGAGGCGGATGCAAAACTCTACCAGTTTTTGTCGGTCGAGAAATTCCCGCTTCAGTGGTTGGCAATGATTTCCTTGAAATGGGAAATGTACCGGATTTTGGTCTACTTGGAACATTCAAAGAGTTTCAGATAACTACTTAGCAAAATGAAAAATTTGCTAGTATTTCATGGAATTTCGGGCACTGATATGATACCTGATTAGGAACACAAGCTAGAATTACTAGTTGAAGAGCCTAGAGATTTTGCTCCGAACCCCAAATGCGGATGGATAAAAATGATGAGACTGTTCGTCTGAGGCCCGGCACCCATAGAAGCTGCGGACCGTTGGTTAAAAAATAAAAATTACTGCCAAATCAGGATGAGTAATTGGCACCCAGCGGTACTTCCATTCGAATTTCCACGTCGAGCGGCAGTAGCTTTGCGGCAGTCATTGTAATCTTCCCTTAGAAATTCGAATTTCCCGCTTCACTTATTTCATGCTATCGAGCCGCTCGGGAGGAAAAATCCACACCAAAGTGATGGTCAACATTGAACATAAGCCATAAAAAACTGTGAAATTGGCCAG